AAAAAAGCCTACCAAAGTGTATTTGGAACCATCGCCACGCAAACTACGACGGTCCTCAAAGGCAGACGACAACTTTTTCCAGGTAGCTTTCCATAGATATGAACCCCACAGAAACACGTTCCATGCATTTAGGTCCTTTACCAATAATATTTGGTCCTCAAAAATAGGTTGTCTGGCCTCTTTACCTAAAAAGTCAGCATTCAAAAGTAATAAAAGGCATACTCGGACACATCAAGGTCATCTATCCGAGTAAAACCATATTTAAGAAGTAATCTTTTCAAGTCGTCGACGTGTAAACTGGGGCTTTGCCTTTGCCAGCTCAGGAAAAACCCGAGATAACCATGATGGGCCGGCGATATGATTAGTGTACCGACCTACTTCATCGTTCTAAAACATAGACAAGTGATTAAGCAAAACTCCTCCCGTCCAAAATAAGTATACACCGGTAGAAAATGAAACCATATCTCTTCATCATCACGTTGTAACCTCTCGGGTAGATCGTTAGTCATGTCTGAAGAAACAAATGGGTCAACATAGCATCTCCACCTAGATGTTGTACTTTCAGCCATGGCTCGAAGAAAGTATCCTCAAACAATTTTCTTTGTACAGGTATAAGTGTCGACGCTATTGTAGTGGCTAGGCTTAATTTATTCCTTAGAGTCAATGAAGCGAAAAAAATTTCTAACAAAAACAATAAACATACCAAGTTATATATACCAAAAACTACAAATTATACACTATAAACAGACATGATATTAAACAGTGAAAACAAAGCCAAATATGTTTCAAACTAGCACGGTATTCACCCAAGTCATTATTCTATCATAGTTTTTTTAGTTGAAGTAATGCAAATCATTCAAGTTTCAATTTGCAGAAGAATAGTAGTTTCTGAAACTTAAATTCGCAACGCGAAACTAAAATCGTGTTGCAATTTTCATTTTCGCGTTGCGATTTTCGTGTTGCGAATTTCATTTTCATGTTGCGAATTTAAGTTTCAAAAACTATTCTTCAGCAAATTGAAACTTGAATGAATTGCATTACTTCAACCAAAAGACAAAACAAAGACAAATACTAACTTCATAGGGTTAAAGACTAAACAGTTTAGCAGTATTGGCAGCAACCGAATGAATTTACTAAGCAATCTAAGTGAAATGGTTAATCTATATATTGAAATTACCAGTAAATTTATCATCAATTTAAATATGAAAAATCTAATAATAATATAAAAATTTCAAAATAAAAATAATTAAAAAAACTAACCCTTGGTAGTTGATTTTCCATTTGTGGCCGTGAATGGTTGTGAGGGTGGCTCTGAGAGATGGAGATAGACGGATTTCGCCGGAGATGGGGACGGATTTTGTCAGAGATGGGGACGGATTTTGTTAGAGATGGGGACAGATGTCGCCGTAGAGAGCGAGAGATGGAGATGGGACTGAGTTGTGATTTTGGGTTTTAGGTTATGAGTTGCGATTATACTGTTTACATTTGTGTTACGAAATTAATATTGTGTTTTGAATTCGAAAATAAAATTTGCGTTGCGAAAATAAATGCGCTTTGCGAATTTGACTTCTGTGTTGCGAATTATAAATTCGTGTTGCGAAATTGGAAACTATGTTGCGAATTTGGAGTTCGCGTTGCGAATTTGTTGGTCATTTTCGCAAATCCAAAAAAAGTTGGTTAAAATCGTATATTATAAGACATTTTCGGTCACTGAAGTTATTTTCTCTAAAAAGAAACATCACCAACTATTTAATGATAAAATTAAAGAAATTTTTAAAAATTTTATGATTTTTGAGTCGGATGGTAACGGGCCGGGTTAGGATATGATTTTTGGTCAAACTGACCAAATCCGAAAATATGTATCTTTGATCCGAATTCGACCCAAAAATTATATATCCTCCATTGACCCGACCCAAAAAATATATATCCTCCACCTGACTCTGACCCGATCCTAATTTTTAGAGTATAAATCCGACCCAACTCGGTAAAAAATAAGGACTGACTTAAAAAATATTAATGTGTTAAAGAAATTACATTATTATCTCCGGGTCGGGTCGGAGTTTTTTTCAACCATCTACTTAACTCGTCATGACCTCACCCCATTAAAAAGTATGACCTGACCTGACTTGAACCCAATTTTTAAAAAAACTCCGACCCTATCGAATCAGACCCAAACCCATCATTTTCAAGTTAAATGGTCATCCCTACGCATAACTTATAAATCATTTATTGAATATTTGTTAATTTTACTTGTATATGGGCTATAAAAGCCCAAATCTAAAAGTTGTGTGTAAGGGTGAGCAAAACTCGACTCAACTTGAAAATTCAATTTTTCAATTCGATTCGATTCAAAAAAACTCAACTCAAATTGACTTCGAGTTACAATTCGTAAACTCGAATCGACTAGAAAAAAGTCAAGTTCAAATCGAGTTGTAAAATACAACTCGAATAACTTGAAATTTTTGGTAAATAGTGGATTTATTTTCAAGTTTATGCCGAGTCCTTAGACTTTGTATGATATATGTAAATCACATATGAAAAAAAATATAAATAAACATATATGATTATAGAAAGTCACTTAGATTGAAACAAAAAAATTATAATATTACAAATATTTACAATTAAATTTAAACATAAACTCGAAAAATCAACTTGACTCGACTCGACTCCAACTTTATAAACTCGACATGACATCAAAAAATTTAAAGTCAACTCCAAGTTGTAAAATATGACTCGTCAACTCGAATAACTCAAAATTTATGGCTCGACTCGATCAAACGCTCACCCTCCTCAAACCAACCAATCGAGGAAACTACCTCTGATAGACACCATTGGCATATTTGTCTTGTTCCCAACGAGGGATGGGGGAGTGAATAAGGAGAGCAACCAATCACGATAGAAGAGGAATTTCCACTATATAATCCAAGATGGGCCAACTTTCTCTTATTCTTATGAACATGAAAGAAGAGAGAGAGGAGAGGGACTGGCACAACAATACAACGAGAGGCATCTGTATCACGGCTAGATGCCGAGTAGGTGACGGAGCCTTTAGTCGCTCAAAGAAAGTGAGAAGTTTAGGGCATACGACCCTTTTACCTAGTCGTGTGTGTAAAAGTTTGGGTAAAGTATATAAATGGTCTCTCAACTATATTATATTATTTTGTTGAATACTTTCACTACTAAAAGTTATAAAATGGTCCCTCAATTTTTAAAAGTTACAAATTGGTTCCTCGATTATTAAAGTTACAAAATGGTGCTTCGATTATAGAGTATTACTTTGTTGAGTCTTTCGACTATTAAAAGTTGTAAGGTGGTCACCTGGCTATTCATAAGTTTCAAATTCATCTTTTTTGGTTAAAAAATTGATAGTCGTATGAATTGAGTGTTAACTTACTCACTGAGGTAATATATAATTATATTTTAATGATTTCTACTGGCACTGTCATTACTTTTAGGGTGCGTTTGATTCACGGAATGTAATATTACCAGTGGGAATAAAAGATTACCAGGGAATAGGATTACTGGGAATGTTACATTACTGTGTTTGGTTAGTTTGGCAGGAATGTAAGATTACAGTGTTTGGTTGAAGGAATAAAACATTACTGGAATGTATATTTTACCAAATTGTCTTTGTTCTATATTTGTTTTTTTAACAAGTGAAATTCTAAATATTTAAATAAAAATTATTTATATAAAAATTATATTTTTTGATAATATATTACTTGAGTATTTAAATATATCATGTATTATTTAATTTTAATTAATATTAAATTTTACATATTTTATCTAAAATTATATTAAAATGAGTTTTTGTTATGTAACAAATGAGATAATACTTGAGTAAGAATACAAATGTAAATTAAAATTTAAACTCTGTATCTTTATTTTGAAGAATTATGATTATCATTTTTTATTTTATTATAACGAGAACCACATTACAAAATGTAATTAGCTAATTCATTAAATTCTTCTTGGATGACTGTGTAATCCATAAAAGTGTTCACATGAATTTATTCGGTTGAACAAGATGACAAATACAGTGGAATGAAAGTTCATAATCCTAATCCCACATGAAGATATGAGTTTTTGTTCACTTGATTCTTGGTTTGTTAAAATAAATTTATTTAACTTCCTAAAAGAAGGGAATTACTTTTGTTTTTAGCTTTAGTTAAATGACCAAACCAGAACTATATAGATTTTTTTACTCTTGAAGATGAAAGGATAGAAAGTCCACTGCAAATAGCAATATAGAAGTGAGAACTGGAGAATTGAAAGATTCTAACAGAACAGAAATAAAAGGACGGTATTATCATGTATTCAAAATGTAAGAACTGAATAAACTAATGGATTTTTTTGGGGGGGTAACCAACTGTAGAATAACCTTACCGAGACAAATGATAAAAAAAAAAAAGAACGCAGTCTCACTGATGTAGGCTTTATTTTGCCCGAACTCCTAAAATTATAAGAAAATAAAATGAGACTGCATTTCACCAAATAATAAATACATAATAGATACAAGCAAAGAGCAAAAGTTAAAGAATCTTGTTTTTACTGGAAGAAGAAAGTATCCAATATCCTGATGTGATGGTCCTGGCTGATGTAAATAATGAACTCCGTGGGCAGCTAGACCATGAATGTACTGCAGAGTCTAAATGCATATTTCAGACCCAAACAAAAGCAACAACTACGATTTTCAAGTTCTAACATGATACTACTAGATTAAGCATACTTCAATTTAGAAGATGTAAACACTTAACAAGGTTGGATGACCCCAAAAAACTTTTGAAAAGCGATGTAAAGTAACATACCAGTTTAGGTAATTGCTAAAGCAATTTTATCCATATTAACCATGAATCATTATATAGATTTATCTTATGCTAAAAGCATAAGCTTTATTAATCTAAGTATAAGAAACCAGGATCACTACAGTTCACCAGATCCTACTTATTTTTCATAAAAACAAGCATCTTCATTAAACTCTAATGCTTGCTTGCCCACTACACATCCACTGCTAAAAAAGTTCTTTTTTTTCCTTTCAATTTTTAGGAAAAAGTAAACATTTGAAATTATTCAGAAAACTAGATATTGCTAATAGAAATTGTGTTTAATTTGAATAAAGATGAGAAACAAAATGGAACCTGAAAAATGAGACCGGCAAGAACGTATTTCCAACAGTCTAGAAGAAGATCTCGATCTCTGTAGTTGTCTCCGCATAAATTCTTTTCTACAACTAGAAGAACAATAACCCAAAAATCAAATCAAAATCCCTAAATAGTTTCCCAATTCTAGAATAGTAAACAAGAAAACAAACACACACCTTTGAAGCTTCGCGACCAATGTAAAGCGTCATCTTGTTGTCGTATTACAACCAGTTCCATAGTACTTCAAAACTCAGCAGTCAAGTTCAGCATTTGTTTAAATTATAAACTGCTCAATTTATTTAAACTGCCCTTCCTTAGTTGTTGTTCGCAGTATCACAGTCTCCAAATACATTGCCTACCAAACTTTGCTCTGCAGAGGAGAACTTGGCGGGGAAATGAATCTGAGTCCTGTAAGAAAAATAATGTTTTCTGTTTAGCATACCATATCTTCCAATCAATTGAACTGATCATTTACTCATGCGCATCAAACTCTTTAGGAATGATTCTGAATTTTGAAAACCATATCATAGTGAAACACTAGGAGATGGTAGATGCAGCAATGCCCCTAAAAATAAAGATTTGGAAAGTTAGGAAACAATCCGCCAAAATCAACTTTCTAAATCCATCAGTTTGAAAGTAAGAGATTTCAACCAAGGGTCGAATCAACTAATGCTTTCAATAATAATTATAAAATTAAAAGTAAAAGAGAGATTGAAACAAGTAGAAGTACCTCGTAATCTGCTTTCATGCTTCGATCTTGCTTTGCATTTGACTCAAATATCTTGGAAAATGGAAGCATATAAAATTCTCAACTACCACCATAAGATATCCGCCTAAACTACCAATTAAATTTTAGCTGTTCCAGAAACATACCCAGGATTGTGCCATACTCAAATGATGAAAATGAAGGTTTCAGATTCGTTTTTATAAGTTGAGAATGTTTTGATGCTTTGTTGAAGCAGCGGTGGTATTGAACACCGTGAAGTGTGGGCGAAACCAGAGATGAGGGACTAGGAGATCGGTCCAAGATTTAATTGTATGGGTTGGAGTAAGAAAAAGCGCAGAAAGAATCAGTGCTACTTCAACATCAGCAGATTGATTCGACACAACATTGTAAAAGGAAAGGGAAAGCAGAGGAGCGAGCAACTTCACAGTAAGCTCAAATCAAAAGCATAGAGGTCGAATTTAAGAGAAGTTGTTGAAACTAGACTATCAGGAAAAGAATCAAAAGCAAAGGAAAAATTAAAAACAAAGGAAAAGAATCAAAAGCAAAGGAAAAATTAAAAGCAAAGCAAAAGAATCAAAATCAAAAGCAAAGTAATATTACTGGGAAATTAAAAGAAAATGAGTGGAGGAGAAATCTTACCAGGAAAAATTCTCAGCAAAGGAAATTGGACATAAGCGAGGTCACGGGGAGAAGATGAGAAGAAAGGGTATTTTAGCCAAATGTCCGGGAATAAATAAAAACCTATGTAATATGTGGGAATGACATTCCCAGGTAAAAATATTACCGTTGGCAATGAGATAATACCATCAAGTGGGAATATTTCCCATCCAAACGTGGGTATAACAACTCGGGAAAAGAAAATTCCTACCAGTAAACAAGATTTTCACGATCCAAACACCCCCTTAGGCATTGGCTTGACGATAGAATGTAAACGGAGAGTCGATCAACAACATACAATTCAACAGTTTTGGGATCATATTTTATCATAATCCAATATGTTGAACATACTTTGATATTTTGATATACCAAAAGTAGTTAATATTTTTTTAATAATTTTTATGACTATATTCGATTCCGTCATTCGAATATGTAAATTCTTTTGAAAGTCAAAAACTCCATTATTCTCCTTACCTTCTTGAAAAAATCGAGTCTGGAAATAATTTTGGAACATATTTTTCTAATGGTTTCAAAAAATATCGATAATATTCATGTGGTATACTGGTGTCGATGAATATCGATGCAAAAAGCTTAAAAATATATAGTATCACTGATATTGCTCAAGGCAGTATTGATATTCCTTTTGTTTTGCAAAAATAGTAAGAAAATTTTGTATCGATACCATTCTAGTACCAATACTACTTATAACAGTATTATCGATAATCTAAATGATAAAATCGATACTACCCTTATGGTTTTGAAAATACAAATTCTAGTATGCTATTTTGGTACTGATACTCCATCCAATATTGGTATTACTTATAACACTAGTATTGGTACTCCTTTTTATCAATATCGATACTAATATTTCCCAACAATTATATTTTTGTAATTAATATAGGTAGTATCTGTTGCGACCATCTTTCGGCTGGGCCCGAAATTAGGTTTCGACTTGAATAATTGGGTTAGAGTTGCCACCGATAATTTATTTTTAAAATAAAAAATTAGGTTGATCGGACACCTTCTTATCTGATCTGTGTTTTACTAGAAATATGTTGGGTTCATGATTCAGTTACAATCAAGGAAGGATTAGCACCCTTGTACTGCCCTTTCGGTAGTAATTTAATACTAGAAAATTGTAAGTTAAATTAAAAAAGTAAAAATTTGATCCAAATTACTTACCTTTAATTGATTTAAGAATACCCCTAAAAGGTCAAAAAAGATGTTAAATTGCCAAAAATAAAATATTGGATTAACCAACAACAAAATTTACAGAAACTAAATTATAATAATTTAAATGAAACAAAGGGAATTGAAACATATATACATGTTGATAAATATATATAGACATAAAAGTAATATAATGGAATGCTCAAAATACATAAAACAAATTCATGACAAAAAAAAGAACGGATCGCATAGATTAAAAAAAATGAAGATTGATGAAGACCAGAAAAAGTTCATTAAATAAAACAAAAATATATCTAGGGCAAGATCATATTCAAACAAAACTAATTTAAAGATAAATTAAATTATAATAGAAAAATATCTAAAGAAAAATAAAATAAAAATAAAAAACAAAACAATCATTTTCGAGTCAAAATTACGTAAAGCATAAAAGTATATTAAATATAATTAAACGAAAATGTGAAAAAGGACCAAATTAAAAAATAAAACCGAGTGAAGGAAGAAATTAAAAGAAACTTTAGCAAATTAAAAAAAAAGACAAAATGGATTTCCAGTAAAACCTTAGGGAGAGAAAGCATCATTTTACCCAACTCATACAAAAATGCGCGGTCCTATGAGTCTCAAAGCGGGTCGACGGGTCGAGTATAAAGCCCAAAAAAATAAAAATATTTCATTTTTTTCCTTTTCCTTCAAAATAGATCAAAACCCTTTTTTCTTTTCTCTCAGGTGTTCTTCACACACTAAGAACATTCGGCCGGGGTTCATAGAAAACCCAATTTTTAGCCAGTCACTGCCTCGCTGACCGCTGTTCATCGATAGCAAAATCAAAGCTTTTTTAAACCATTCGAAAACCCAAGTTCTCCTCTTTCCAAATCTTACCACCATCTTCGTTGAAAGGCCTTGAGGAGAGCTAGATCTAATAAACATCTTTCGCACTCAACCTCCTCCGATCATCGACCTCTTGCTTTCATGATTTTTTTGAAACAAAGAAGAACACAAATAAAAAAACAAAGGCACATACAAACACCAAGCCGAAGCGGGAAAGGTAAAAAAAGTTACCTCTTTTATTTATTTTTCTTTCGAAAATACAAGTCTCGTTTGCTCTTTCTCTTCTTCGTGTTTACAAGTATTGTTCTCTCTCGATTTCTTGTGTTTTTTCATTACATTTTACATGAATTTATAGGCTTAGAAATCCCCTATTTTCGATTCGTTTTAGAGTCCTATTTAGATTGAAATGCTCCTTTCTTTTTGGTTTATTTTAGAGTCATATGTAGACTGAAATTGTTTTATGTTTTGACTTGATTCTCACAGTGGCTTCGACAAATCCGGGATGTGGGTGATGCGATAGGAGTGAGGACTCTCCAAGAGTCCTAAAATTGTCATTTTGACAATCAGATTGTTCCCTATTGATCCAACGGTGCCAGACATACTGTGCCAGACATACGGCGCTAAAGTGAAGAGAGATGAAACCAGCTCCACTGGCGGGCTTCACACGTGTTGGGCTTGGTCTATTGGGCCTAGTGGGGATGTTTTGTATTTGGTTTCGGGTTGGGTTGTACCTAACAAAAAACAAAGGAAAAATATTAATTTGTTAAAATAATAATAGTAATATATATTAAGGTATTATATAATATATATGTATGCTATACCATAAATATACAATGTAAATATACTATAGGATATACGAATATACAAACCCAGATGCAAAGGTGTGTCTACTGCTACCCTCTTTACCCACAGTCGTGTAACGGGAGTAGGGCAAATATTAAAAGACATATTTTTTGTCCAATATGAATGTATCACTGAATTTAACATCATCTATTATGGGAGTCGATTTTTATCTTATCGAATATCCTCTGTCGTAGAGTTAAAATCCGATGTCATGACTGATAGTAAATTTGGACGGAATTGCAGATGACTCCCTTGCCGTGAGGTTGAGTTGAACTGAAAAATTTTGAGCATGATATTCTTCATCATGAAGCTGAAACCGAGCTCAAAGCATTGGAAAGTCACTTTCAGATCGTCTTCTAGCCCAATATACTTCATCGTGAAGCTGAAATTTGACCTGAAGACTTTGGTACGAAACTAGTTTTCATTATTGTGTTACATATGACTCCTTTATTGTGAAGTTGAGTCAATATTTTGGGTACGATATCCTTCATTGTGAAGTCAAAATCGTAGGTGGCTCATTCGTTGTGAAGTTGAGCGTTGAATTAGATGTCATTCGTTGTGAAATTGAAATCCAATCTTGTAAATTGAATCACTTTGAGATTAAAATATGAAGTTGAAATTGTGGATGGCTTGTTCGCTGTGAAGTTGAGCTTTGAATTGAATGTCCTTCGTTGTGAAGTTGAAATCTACTCTTGTGAATTGTATCGCTTTCGAGTTCAATATCTTTCGTTGTGAAGTTGAAATTAACTCTAACAAGAATAATATGCAAAAATTATGCATATATGCTATGCTATGGATGCAATGTTCTTATGTGTGCCTAAAATGCATATGTGAAATATGTTATTTTGGGATTTGGGGGGAAATCTTCAATCTCTAGTTGTCAGTCATGATGACTCTCGATTCTGGAATCTTGAATTTCTGATCTTCATCTTGGATTCTTCACCATGTTTAAATCCAATGTATAGAAAAATGCCTTTCAGTCATCTCAAGTATAGTGCATAAGCCCTGATCGGCTTTCGAATATCTATACTTTTCAGGAAAATCTTTGTACAATAATACCCAATTATCTTTTCAAGAGTAAATAAGTCATTAAGTTTAAATTCAACCCAAGATGCTTAAAAGGAATTGACTTAGAGAAATGACCATATTTATTTATAAGGAAAAAGGAACAAAGTATATGACAAACAATTTGGAAAGTCAAAAAAATAAATATAAGTATATACCTTAGATCACAATAATGTGGGCGCCTTTGAACTGATATGACGTTAGATGACTTTTGAGCGCAACTTTTGTCAAAGGGACTTTGAAAATGCGACAATGTTCGGAAGTGCCACATTTCCCCGAATCGTTAAGTCTGCAAAAGATTTGGATGTTGTGATGCAAAACCTTTCCCGAATCTTATCCAAATTGGCCTTTCGGGTTTTCAACTTGGATCCATCCTTGGTCTCAAGACACCCTCGCGGATTTTCATCTTGGACCCACTTTTTTTAAGGCGCCCTGTTGGGTTTTCACCCTAAATGTTTTTTTCAACTTAGGGCACCCTTTTGGGTTTTCACCCTAAGCGAAATATTTTTTGACTGCATCCGAATTAACGGAATTGGTAATTCCAGCCCGTCCATTTCATCCAGAATCAATGCTCCTCTGGAGAAAACATTATTTACTACATAAGGTTCTTCCCAATTTGGCATCCATTTTCCTCTGAAATCTTTTTGAATTGGCCAAATTAAGATAAATGAATTTTAAG